TTTCATCTCTGTAGGATTTAGTGAAAACTTCCGACTTGTTTTGTGCTAAAAATTGATTCTAAGTTTTCATGTGAGAAATAAATTACAAAGAATAGAAAAGAAAGTGTCGCAATTTTAAGTAGATCATTTATCAATATTGATGATGATCAATACATTGAAAAATTCTACTATGGATGTCGAATGTGGAAAGTCACTACCAACATCAGTTTTCTAACAAAATGTCTTGCATCTGAACGATGCTGTTAAGCGGGTTGCAATCGAACCATCACGCGAGCTCTGTAAACTGGAAGCATTTATGTGAACTAAAAGGAGCCGACAGTGACATACACAACAAAGAGCATAAATGAGAGCGAAAGGATCACGAAGGGATGCAAACATCCATCGTTCTTGGCACCTGCAAGAATTAGAGGAATAAAAGCAAGAGAATAATGATGAACAACGTGAACGATAAACAAACAAGACTTTTTGTCAGCGTAACCGTCAGCAGCAAAGCTTATCTTTGTAAACAGCTGGGCTTCGATGCGAGTTTCCTCCTAATAATTATCATTCCAAGTGAGCTAGCGACGGCGATAAATGTCTAGTCTATTTTCTAGTCATGTGGGCATGACAGGACTAGTCGAAGTCTCAAAAAGTCCTTGTCCGGAACTTGTTTGAATCCAACTGCGCCCTTGGATCTCATCATTGTCCAGTGTCATGACGCAAATATAGTCTAGTCTTTTTCTCCAAAAAGACTACACATGTCGGGTTGCCATGGTGTCTATAAGAAAATGATTTAATTTTGAAAAAATAAAGACCGTCAGGGACGATTCACATGACGCTCTATTATGAGATGCATTGTACTACTTCAAACGAGTCTAATTTGAAACATAATATGAAGTTAAAGGCTAGATTCGAACATACATGCATTCTGTTACTAGCCCATCGTTCAGACCATTGAATCATATAATCGAAAACTCCTCTTTCACGTCTTGCTAAACATTAGTAGACACTCTTTGAACTCGGAAATTTTCTGAAAATTGTCATATGAGGAAAAAAATTACCGTAGTATAAAATTAGGTATATCAGCTCAAACAAGAGTGCTTTTGACTTTTTTAAATTCAAAAAAGAGAATTATATTTTTCTCATTAGATTTTAGATAGTAGTAATGTATGTAAAAAAACCAAGTGTAAAATAGGATGATAACTTTTTAAATTGAAGAGAAAATGATTTTATAAGTAATAAGATCTAGTTGTAATTCTAAAATGGATCAATTTAATTTGAAATAGAATAAAATCATGATACCAATAAAATTTATTTTCTCTTCAATTCAAAAAAGATCATAGGCTTATTTGCACTCGATATTTTAATAAATTAAATAATTTTTTCTAAAGCCTAATGAAAATATAATTTTTTTAAAAATTTTCATGTCGATAAAAATAACCTTTTCTGATACGAGAATAATTATATAAGCCACCGTGCTAACCTGTATTTGCTCGCTATTCTCTCACTGGGATCGACATCGCTTCGTCAAATTCGATTTCAGATTCTCCTAAATCGTATGAGTTGTTCCACATTTCTCTATATTTTTGTGTAGACGCAATGTTTTACGTATTGTAATTTTCATTTTTGTAACTCTGACCAAAAGGATACACTTGAGATCTAGACAAGACATTTATCAACTATATTTATATGACTTCAAATGCATACTTTCATGAGTTTTGCTAAATTAATACGAAACGTAGCCTAAGAAAACCTTTATCTTATTTAGTTCTGTTTAGTCCTTTTGAGAGAAATGGTGGATCTGTTAATCATGATATATTTTTACGGATCTTGGAAAATTTAAAAGTGATAATTTGTAATGGTATCAAAATCTTTTCATACTGGTAATCTTATGAGTACTATACGCACTGTCTGAATGTATTTGTGAATAGTCTCTAAGCTACATTGACACGTGCAGAAAAGAACAATAACACTTTTATTTGACTGCTTATTCTTATACACGAGAAAGTTGACGATTGATTGATTTTTTTTTTCTTATCTACTATTGATAAGTTCACATATCAGAGTAATCTCTTGTTTTAATGAAAGAAATTGTTTATGATATAAAGAAGATGAATATCTTGAAGATATCTAAACATACTGCAAGTGTAGAGTAGTCCCTTTCTTTCCTCTCCTGCAAGCAAATTTTGTAGTTAGTATAATAAAGATGTTAGGCTGATTCGAATGAGCTAGAACGATCTGACGTTTATTATCATTGTATAAATATTTCTGATATTTGTGCAGCATAAAAATATTTTATTTATAAACTAGAATACAATTAGATGTAACTCTATTTAGAAACAATACTTCTTGACAAGACATAATCACTCAATCATCTTTCGCATTTAATATCACTAGGCAATACTATAAAAAATAACGCTTTACGAGTTTGCAACAGAACATAAACTCTTTTTTTTTCGTTTATTGGATATTTCGAAAACGGAAAAAAGGGTCTATGTTCTGTTGCAAACCCATAAAGGTTTTTTTCGTTTATTACGGAATCAAAAACGTTTTCTCCGTTTATTATTCTCCGAATTTTTTGTTCCAGTGTATTGCTAATCCTGAAACCAATTTTTACTGATATTTCATATGAAAAAACGAGTTTTAATGAACGAAAAAACAGAATGAAAAAAAATCTAGAAGAGATCTTTCTTGATAGAAAAGTCAATTTATGAAATTGAAGTCAAAGATAGAGTTCACATCATTTTGACAGCTGTTTGAGGATTCCTATTTCTCCTTTACGTATCATTAGAAAACACATATGAAGTTTTCTATCGTCGATGTCGTTTTTACAATGTAGCTATTATCGCAACGAAAAACGAATAGTTTCTGTTTATATTTCTTTGAAAAATAAAGCAAAATCCTAGAAAAATTGATCAAATAAACAATAAAAACGATCCGTATATAACACAAACCGCAATCGAATCGAATTTTTCAATAATTCTATTGGACTCGATTCTTCTGAGTCGAATCGACTCGAGTCCCATTTGAGATTTTCGTATTTGTTTCGGTCTCTAGTACGTATTTTGCTGAAGTCATATCGCTGAAATTAAGATTCCTTAAATTCGGCAGCTATCACTTCCGCGAACTTTAACCTCGGGAGCCTAACGTGAATAATAAACCCCGTCGTTGCCGGTTATGCCTCTTTTCAGCGATCACCCGGTCGATATTTTTTATCTCGATAAACGACATGGTCAACGACAATTTGAGGAAATAATTGTACAATGATCCCAAAGTGAACGAGCCAACGATCGTTGAAATGGAATTCCATGATATAGATGATTAGAAGAAATTCAGCGATCTTTGCTTCAATGATACTACTTCTGTGATGTTCCGTTCGACAGCCCAATCCTTCTGCCATCTCGTTTTCAGCAACGAACCCTATAATAGCAAAAAAAGATCAAAACTGTGAAAACTACAACGATACTAACAGATAAAAAGACAAATGATAAACAAGTAACTTGTGCAATTCTTCCTTCTATTTACATGAAATTCCTACTTAATATTTGTTCTTATACTATTTTTGTGCCAAAATTATCTTTCTGAATGCTTTCTTTTATTTTTGGAAAACAAAATATGAAAGTAAAAGCAGGAAACTAAACAAAATAGTCGTCAGTCTTGCCTGAACCGTTGGGTAATAGTAGATCTAACTACTCTGAAGAGACTTGTCAAAAGTCATTATGAAGAATTTTGACTTTGAGAAGCAAAAATAAATTAAATACTCATGAGTAGTTTATCTCAACCAAAAGGTCTAGCACGTTCGTCTTACCAAGATGGATTCTAAATCATTCTATCTTTTAGAAAAACGTGTAATTCTTTTATAAACGTTGTTTAATTTTGAAAAATATCTCGAATAATTATTTAATAGTCATGACACAACGAACTATTTTCTGTATTGAACCTCGAAATGCGGTAATCCGAAACATACTACGCACTCAAATATTCTCAAAAAATTCAAATCAGTACCATGCATTTTTTACTTCAGACAGAATCAAACAATATAAATACCAATAAATTAATATCATTTTGATCAATAGATGCATGTTCTCAATACTTCTGCGGAAAAACTGTGAAAACTACGTTGAATATTGATTCTTCGCTTTGAAAACATGAACTCATATTTGATTTCAAAAAATGGAAAAGCTTACGCGATTTCTGGTTCCTAGAAATGAGGAGCCTACATGGAATCCGGTTTCCTGATGGTGGCGAATCCATGCGGACTTTTCCTTCCTAGGAATTCAAAACCCATCGTAACTTAATGAAAAAGAGAGGAAAATGGTATATAAACATCCAATGGTGTTTAAAAATGCATCGTCAAATGGGTTCGCGTTGCTGAGGAACGCAACCTTAAGAAACGGGAATCCTGACATTCCTAACCCCCACCCACACATCACAAGTTTATTTTCCAATATGAACAGCCAGATCTAGACCCAGAGCCATACTCACACTCAGACTCTCATCAACAGCCATACCCACACCCGAATTCACACTCACACTAACACTAACACCGACACCCACAACCACATTCCAAAGTCACACACACAACCTCGTCGACACCCACATCCACATTGTTAAATCTGTTATATACGAATTGTACCTGTCGTTTTGGATTCTTGGGATACGGCATTCTAATAACCCACATCCTCACCCTTCAAGTAGTCATGTATAATCTAAAGAATTACTATGCACAATTAATTTATTATTAGTTTTTTTTCTTGATTTACTTTAGAATGCACTGTAATCGTGATGCACTTGATATTGGACACAATTTTTTACATAGAGGCTTTTAATTTTCGAACTTTGTACTGTAAATTATTTTCATCGAATCGATTATCAAAGCGGCTTGTTAGAGGACAATTTGTGAAATGTCACAGCTGTAATAAAGACAATATAGGCATAAGAAAGTATATAAATACTAGATGAATCGTTGATTCGATCATGTCATATTGTCACAAAGACAAATATTAGAAATGAAGTCAATAATGGTCGTTCTCTTAGTTCCACTAGCATGTCTGGTGTTCGCTGACACTCAACAAGAATGGTACAAAGTTCAAATCGAGACGCAAGTCCTTCCATTCTACGTTCTAGCCTATCATAATCTTCAGAATCATGTGCTCAATGAACTCCTCACCGTTGATGTTGCCTCTTTGGACGACACTGCCGTTGGTCAACTGGTCAATCGTCTCTATTGTGCCATTCGTGAAGTATACAATTCACTTCAACAAGCTGTGTTGGCCAGTGAACAACTTCGAGTTCATGTCAGTGATCGTCTCACATCGAGTGTTGCTCAAGCAAGTGCTTATGAACAGGATGTTCTCGACAAAGAGAGTGCCATTTCTCAAGTGGATCAAGCTCTTAGTGGCGCATTGACTCAATTGGCATTAGCCGAGCATGCAGTTATCGAAAAGGAGAAAGCAGTTGCTAGTGCTGATCAGACTGTTCGTGATGCTGAATATGCGATCGAACAAGCAAAAAAGTGTCGAGGTAAACGAAGTTGGTTCAGTCAAATTACTCGTCCGATTGTTCGACCGATCGAGAATGCAATCAAAGATGTGGTGATCAAACCTATATGTTCGGTGATCAACTATGGAGGTATTGACAATGCAAAGAGTCGACGAAACGATGCTTACAATCAGTTACAAAGCGCTCGAGCTCAGGTGGAACATTATCGTCAAGTCGGCGCAGGACATCGAACAACAAAGGAAAGTCTCGAAATACAACTGAATGGACTGCGATCATTATTGGCAAATATTCAAGTAGCTTTTCAAGTTTTACAAAGTGAACTCACTGTAACAATGAATATCGCTGAGGAGGTACGTCAAATGTACAAAAATGAACAATCATTTCACGACACAATATTAACAATCGATCAAAATTTTCTCATGAATAATTCATTTCTATTTTTGATTTAGTTAAAAAATGTCAACACTCAACTCCACACTGTTTTTACAAGCTCAACCGTTCTTTACAATACCGTTGCTTATTTGGTCGATTTCGAGTTGCTCATCAATCCATTGAATGCCATTTATAGATCGATTCAACAGATTACCGCTCTTGACACGATAGAACAGATTAGTCAGAATCAAATCTCACAATTCAAGAAAAGTCTAGGTCAAATTGCTGCTATTCTGCCCAATATGCCATTTAATTTGAACACAAATTTTACCTGCTAGATCATTTTCTTCCTACTTTTATTCATTATTTTGACAGTTAAAATTCAAAAAGATGATTGAAGAGTGAAAGAAACAATATTTGAAGTAATGTTTCTAGGATCTTCATCTTTTAGATAGGATAAGGATGATATTCTCTTGCGTCATTTTATACCTCATGCTAACAGCAAAAGGTGATGCAGGCAATTCGTTTGGGATCGAACCGTCTCTTGCACGATCAATGTTTCTTCCCGCTGATTCGAGTCAAAATCCGTTTGTCGATCTCGAGATAGAACTTCTCTCCCAATTATCTTATTCCACTTTCCGAGATGGTAAGGCTCAATCTCTTTTACTCGGTCGTCTTGGTCAGTATAACATATCTGATCTCTTTTGAAAAGTATTGAAATATCGAACTTTTCATATCAGGAGGTTCTACAAATGATCTACAAGAAGCCGAACGGAATGATCAACTTGAATCACAAGGTGATATCGATCTTTTTACTTTTCTCGGTTTACTTGGCAATGGTCCGACAACAATCAATCTACTCGGGCAAATCATGGTCATATCAAGCAAAAAGGATTTCTCATTTCGAACTCACTTGCCCAATGGAACATTCAATTACGTGAAATATCCGGACTCATTTAAAGCAACACTCATTCAATTAGCCAATGAGGCATACAATGCTTTTCTTTCGGCTCATTCAAATATGAATGAAATTCAATTGAATATGCAACAAATTCCGGGTCATGTCAAGACGGCACTTAAATTATTGATCGCAGCTCCATTTTCAATGCTTGAAAGACTTCTACCCCTCTCATTGAATAATATTGAACGGATTGGTTTTGAATGTTCGAATCTATCATACACAACACATAACAAATTTGCCAATGTTCAATTATTGATCGGTGAGCATGTGAAAGATATACTTTATCGATAAGCATTGTGTTGCTGATTTTATGAAACATAATTCAAAGTGACTATTGAAGTATATAGTGAGAAAGGTGAATTCTCGTAGGAGCCATTCCAAAGATCGTGACAGACATTTTTCAAATGCTTTTACTTTGATTTTCTCGTGGATCATAATCAATATGGTGAGACTCTTCTTGTAAAATGAAAGCATCTCCATCGCGTTCCACATTTTAATCTCGTACGAATTACCCTAAAAGCTTTTTCTCCTTTATCATTATTTCGATGATGGTTATTTTCTAAAAATCAATCTCGACATCTTAATCGAATGAAAAATGAGAACTTCCTAATTTTTCTCTACAGGTGAAATAAGTGAGCTCACGGGTAATTCGGCGGGCATTACTAATCAACAATTGGCTGAGACACTTATTGAATTGAATAAAACCGATGCTGCAAAAAATGCATTGAAAGAAAAAGAAACCACCATTAAAGAAAAATACAATGAACAAGCTACCAGAGTTCGCGATGCACAAAAACAATTCGAACAAGCTCTCAAAGAGATTCCAACAGGATTCGATTCAATTATGCAACAAACTATCGGCTTGGTTGTCGATACGTTTAAGATGACAGTAGGAGGGGTTCTCTGTACTGGTGGAATTCGACCCAATTGTATGCCTGATGCGATTGGATCAACAGCTGAAGCCGCTGCACAAAATGCTATTGCTAAGGCACAACAGGCAAGACTTGCTCTTCAAGAAGCCGAAGCACGATATGATGCCATTTTCAAAGAATTGATGACTCATCATGATAAAATGACACAAGTTATGGTTCAGCTGGCTTCACTCGACATGACCAAAATCGATTATGAGCAACTAATTCCGATCTTTAAAGAAGCTATTACATATTTGAGTGAAATTCGAAAGCATTGGGGCAGATTAATTGAGTTCTTTGATAATCTACGAATCCGCGTTCAGGTATGAAAAACAAAATGCACTGTATTTTCTCATGTTCTTTTTGGTTTCATGGGAATGTGACAAATGAATGAATTATTCATTTCGAGAAATTTTTATATTTGTTATTGTGCTTTTCCATAGATTACTGTAAAGAATTCGTTTACAAAATTTGTCGATTGGATGAAAACGACTATAGGAATGGGCGATGATTATCTCACTAAAGAGATTCGTGCTATGTATCTCGATATGTTAAAAGAAAATATCATCGAAATCCATCGTGAAGCTCATCTTCTTTTCATCATGTCGAAAACTTACTATGATGTATCACGAGAAAATATGATGGATCAATTAGCAAGTCTAGCTAAGATGGTTATGGCGTCATCGGATGAAGAACGAAATCAACTTAAAGATGAATTGATGCGAGATACAAACACGGTACAAACTAAAGTTAATCGTTTGGCACTTCAACGTAAAATTGAATATGAAGAGGCCAATACACAACGTCAACATGAAATTGAAGCGTTCATTCAACAAGCAACTCTTGGAGAGCTTGAAGAAGGTATAGGACGTCGGCGTCGAAAGCGTGATCAAATGTTGTTGATCTAATGAAATTTTCATAGAAATAAATTACCTAGTTAGTTTTACAAAAAAACCTTAGTGTTCAACTTAATGATAATACAATAGAGCAGAAAATAAATCCAACGACGTTGAATACTGTCATCTGTATCGATTATTCATTTCCTAATAGAATCTGAATTCGGTTTCTTATTTAATAATTCGTTACATGCCATTTTCATACTGTTCAACGAAACTATAGATTGAATATGACTTGCATCCACAAATAAATAATCAATGTGAAGATAGTACTACGTTAAAGTAGAGTCTACTAATAGAATTCTTTTTAGTGAACTCTTACAACAGATTCAAGAAATGAATTAATCGGTTCTAGGTGTGGGTATGAATATTTTCTTACCCTACATCAACATTTGCAGACACACTCACATCTGCATTTTATAGGATTCCCAAAGTAAATGCTTCAGTTCGATCTCTGAACGTTTCCGTACTGGTTTTATAAGAAAGAAAGTTGGACTTTTAGAAAATTTCAAAATCACGTCTGACAAATAGTCTAAGATATCTGCAAGAACATTTTCAGCTCATTTGGATAAACTTTGATGAGATCTTGATATGGTCAGGTACAGTTGTATGGGAAATCAGGCTTTTCTTGAAAACTTACTTGAAAAGTTGTTAGATCTCTCTTTAGTCTTGTTTGCTCGTTTTTTTTTGCATAAAAATTTTCCCATTGATTTATTGTGCCTTCTCCGAGAGTCATAAATGGTTCAAAAGAAGGAAATATTCTTAATAGTGAAATGTAATAGGTGGACTCAACTAGTGCATAAAAACTAATTTTTTTTCAGTGGCAATTGATATTACAAGAGTCACTATGATACCAATCAATTCAAAAAGATTTCTATAATTAAAAGAAACGTATAATAAAGGCAATGAAAATAATTCTTTTTTTTTTTAATTTATGAGAAAAATTATATTCATTAGAAAACAACGAGCAACAATGATCAACATATTATTGTTTCAGTCAACTAGTCTGTTTTTTGTTTTTAGAAAAGTATCTTCTAAAGTATATAATACCATGCATATGAATAACATTGTTCAATTTATATTATTAATTTTCATGAATAACGAGAAAATTAGAAAATTACTGGAGATGAGTGTATGCAAGTTTTTCTCCAATCAAAGAAACAGTTAGATTTTATGTTTTACTACATTATGCTATTAATTAATATACGATGAGCATGAATATTTTCCTTCTCGATACACTTTTTAATCGTGCCTTTACTCATTAACTGAGCAGCTCATCGTCAGAAAAATGTTTTACATTGCAACCAGACATATTCGAGATAATAATTCATTGCCATAAGTGTCCTATTAAGTATGAAGCGCTATTGAAGTGATTATGTGTTAAATATATTCTCAAAAGGCTATGTTTAAAGCTTGCCAAATTATTGTATGCAAAACACAATGAAAAATTTGGAATATCTGAGTGCTTCTTCGAGTTCAAAAAAAACAGTAGACAATTTGAAATTCTTTATAAACTACTATGCTGATATTGTGGCTCAACAAGGCAGCAACATCCGATACTTATATCTATGCTCAAATGTTTTTTTTTTCATTCAGGCATCTATAATAAATGGTTATATATGCTCGAAACCTAAAACTTTCGATTCTTTATTTTTGTATATATTATTCAACTACATGATGATGAGAGTCTACACTTGAATATTATTGCTGACATAAAAAAAAATAATTATGAGCTTTGACAAAAGAAAAAGAAGAAGAATACACCTGTCTTTCGGCTACCTTCTGGTATGGGGTGTTGCCTAGCGGCAGATTCAATAGCCCCATGTTTTTCCACCAACTATGATTAGCTGTAGCTCTAAAAAGAAGACCAATCTGACGCAGAGTTCTTCCGCTCAATTGCTTGAGCTTCCTATAAAAACTAACTAACCACATACTAGCCACAAGGATCGGTGTATGTTACAACGTAATCAGTATGATTTTGAACGGATGCTCCGAGACAAATAGCCGTTAGTGAATTGTCCAAAATCATTTCATGGTTCGTAATACTGAGATTCGAACACAGTGCCTTGTAGATAAGTGTGGAACAAGATAAACGTTCAGTCATAGCAGCTGCTTTCACAAAAACTGAATATCTTTTAATAGACTGAATATTGAATATTTACTGATGACCTATATATATGACAGATGAATATCCATAAGAAAACTCTTTAATTTTTTTGTACCAGATCCCTGAAACATCGTATAAGGAATATGCATATACAAGTTTGCTCTTTTTTCTGAGGAAACAACTAAATCCTGAAAAAAGTGTGTAGTCACGAAATTTTCAGATCTTGACAATATTTGAAAAAAAATTCTATAAGGTTCAGAATACTTTAGGGTGCGGGTGTAGGTCTGAACTTTGTTATCGTCCATACTCACACCCATCTCGTTAGACAATATCTTTTGATCATCGTAGTGACAACCATTTAAAGAACTATTATTCAGTGTTATCAACGCTTTTTAATATTTATAATCAATTATGAATGAAACGATGAGATTATATGAAGATTATCATAGTAAACAACTTTGCTCTTTAACAAAGTTTATAAATTATCAAATAATCTCCATTCACAGAAGTAGAATATCTATATTTAATTAATATTCAATTTAAATTCGCATTCATATATAGTAGTTTTAGATCTTGCTATTTATTGAGATGTCCAACTTACTGTTATGCAGAAAACGAACAACATAGTCAAATTTTGTTCATAGTATTGTTTGGATGAACATGAATTATCAAACAAAATAAAAAGAATGATACGTCTCAGAACGAGATATGAATTTTAAGTTGAAAATAGTGTAAGATTAGAAAGGTATGAGAAACTAATTACTGTCATGCATTCCTACTGTATTTTATTCAATTCATTGAAGTATTCTTACCTTAGACTCGATTGTTGCACGATGTTCGTTGAATATTCTGTTATAAATGGATCTACCGATAATCATGGTAAAAATCAGACATTCAAAACAGAAAAAAAATCGGGTTTGATTCAGTTTGTTTTCAATCTCTAATTTGTGACACAGTCATCGATAAAAGGACAGATTCTATTTAGAAAAAACATTCAATAAGCCTTTAAGGGAAAACAATTTCGAACTATCAGTATTATCTATTTCTTGACGAAATACACATTTTACTCGATTATATAGATGGGAGTAACCAATCAGGGATACCTCTAATTTTCTTTTATTTCTGAAATCTCACTAGTATATCGGACCACTATGATATTTTTGTTAGAAGTCGTTCATATCTAGAGTTAGTCACTATCAACTCTGTTTAGTTGTATGTCGTGATAAAAGCGACGCATCTCGAGTATTTCCTTGGCATCTTATAGTTCAAAGTATTATGTTTCGGCTTTATTCCTTTAATTCAAGTCTGACTTCGAGCATTTGAAATAAAATGAAATATCAACAAGAGAGTTTTATCAGCAAGAACTTAGTTTAAAGACACGGAAATACATCACTTGGTGTTTTTACAAATAGGAGATTTCATCAAGTTTAGATTAGACAAAAGACAAACAAGATATGAAATTTTCCTGATGTTCTCAAAGTCGTTGATAGACTCTATATTGATTTTCAAATATCTTTTGACCTTTTTTTCAGCCTCCTACTCGTTCAAATTCAATATCTGTTTTAAATCAGCTTTATAAAGTTGTCAGTCAAACGTTAATTTCAAAATCAATGCCGCCTTGAATATCTACATTGTAAATCTTCAAGAATTTTGAGAATTCATGAAAATTTTTCATGTATGAACTGAATTATGGGATCAAAGTCGAAACGGAATATTTTGAACTATATGATGTTAAGGAAATAATTAATATGCATCGCTTCTATCACGACATAAGATTCAAAAGGTAGGCATTTATTAGTTGTACATATGAACTACATCTCGTAAAAAATTATAGTGTTTTGATATGCTGTTAAGTTTTTCGAAAGAAAATAAAATTGAGATGTCCCTGACTGGTCACTCCCATATATATGTTAGCGTCCAATCCCGAATGTAGGGCAATCTGAGATGCTCATTTTGAACTAGTCCAATCTTGGATCTGAAATTCGACTGACATTAATTCAGGCTATTCACGGATCGATCAGTTACAACACGTTCAATCTGAGATTCGCCTGGAAATTCTCAGGCGAATTTTAAATTGGACTAGGTCATTGTAGAATTAAAATATCAATAAGACCAATCTTAGATTCATCTAGGTCAATCCCAAATTCGTCTAGGCTAGTCTAGGATATGTTTAGATCAATCAAGGGTTAAGTATTAAGTATATTATTTATTTTATGCGGAGGTATTAGCTCTGTCGAAAAAATGTATCGAATAAAAACTGGACAGAAAAAATTTCTTAACCCTTAAAAGCCGGAAGGTCTTATCGTCGCAAGTTGAACAAACTAATCGCTAAAATAGAAGCTCTAGAATACCAATAAGAATTATTGATAGCAAAAAAACAAATTTTTGTTTTCTTACAGCGATGTAAAATGTCCCCTGGAAGGGACATTCGGTCTTAACGGTCCAAATTTATCACTATTCTGAATCTATGCATGAAGAGCGTTTTCAAGTGAATAACTTTGTTTATTTTGTTGTGAACACAATAAATTAATAGAAAGAGATATTTTCAATAACTTTTTAACAAAAAAGAAACAAAATTAAGATACACATTTTTAATGTGAAACATTTGTGTCTAAAGTAGAAACTTATTTACGAGTATGATATTCAGTGAAACAATTTTTACTTGAATTAAGGCATAGGTGCACATTACATTTGGAGCATTGCCAATATGTTTTTCCTAAACAGTTTTCGTTCTTACATCGAGTATTATTTAAAGCAGAAATAAAGAAAGTCCAATGGTCAGAATTATCATACCGTATAATATCTGTTACACTGGACTTGGCTTCACGTAGCTTTTTTCTTGGTGGTTCATTTTCTTCATCACTTTGATAAATATTTATTGATGAACTAACAGTAGCTGTTGGAAATATTTGAAGATTTGGTTTTGTTAATAAAAATTTTGCTATTTCAGATTTGAAATGAAATAATCTAAATTTTTCATGACTTGTGAATCTATAACTATCATCGCCACAAAGCAGCTTTCACAAGCGTGATGCGATGACGTTTTGTCCATAGTTTTTTCAACATTTCTCAGTAACGATGTATATTTAGAACTTCATTGTTTCAACGAAAGACGTATCTCTTCGACCCTCTACACAGCTGAAAATATTAGCCTTTTTAGTATAAGTCATCTGTGAATTATAGTGAAAGATCATGGTCAAACGCGATGACGAAAAAGGGACAAAAAATGGAGGGTGGTGTGATTGCATTTCATTTTTCGGCGAATTTATGCTTTATCAAGGAATCATTCTATGGTCATTCGATAGTTGACTTTTCAGTCCTCCAGATGTAAAAAAGAAAATTTCGAAATGAATATTTTGTTTGAATTAAAAACCGTATCTAGCAGCGTAACGCGATGACGGTCTCGTAACGCGATGATGCTTAATTTTAAGAGTATTTTTTTTCTGCACCCTTCTTCACTATAGAAACAATTGCATAAAAAAGACATCATAGTTTCGTCATTATTGTATATGATCACATGTTACGTATTAAATTTATTGATTATTTCATCGAACAAATCATAAAAGAGGAAAATCTAGTCAGGTATAATATTGAAGAGTTAATTCATAATCATAGTGAAAAAAAATTATACAAAATACAAAAAAAATTGCAATAATTGTTTGATTCCTATAGTATTATTTATATTAACAATGATTAAGACATAAAATGAAAGAAATGTAAAATGAAATCTAAATGATTCTATAATGTATCTCTAAAATATTCACAGTTAAGTCAAAGCGATCTCTGTTTAAAACAAATAATAATTTTCAAATCTCAAATCGATGTGTTTTTTTTGTTAAACTACTAGAGTAATATTTATGTTCGATTGAGTTATTTGAAAGCACCTTAACTGAATGTATTTTTTTAGTCTCTGGTACTGATTTGAGTGATTGGAATATTCGTTCTAATTTTATTTTAGCATTATCAATTCGATATTGCTCGATTTCACATAGTTCGATATTATTTGTCTTTGATCGAGCAATAGTAATAAAATCAGCTGCTGATGTACATTTTTGTCCACTTAATATAGATCGATATACAAGACGTTTTATGGATCCACCAATTCCATCTACTACTCCTTTGCCATGGCTTGTTGCAAAAAAATGCCATGACTACTGTATCTAAAAAACATGAAGAAGAATTCCAATCAAGTTCTTGAAAACAAAACTTGATTATTTACGTCAAACGTTTCAAATAGACGACACAAATTTCTAAACAAGAATTTTTGTTTGAATTGCTGAGCAGCACCGTCGGAAAATACATGTACTTCTTTCAATTCATTGAATTTTATTTTCAATTTATCAAATAAATCATCAAGTGCTGCAGTTATACAATATTTATCGTGAGATAAATTATTTGAAACATAAACAAATGAATAACCGGTATCCAAACTCCAAGCATAACAAGTAAATAATGATACAGCTTTTTTTGTATAAAAAGATCCTTGTACAGCATCTTGAACTTCTAATCTAAAATTTTCACTATAGTCAACTTGTACACAAATTGTTTCCTTGTCCGATATTGATTTGATCATTTCAAAATACGTAGCTTGTCGTCTCTTGATAAATACATGTATCAAAAATGATTCGAGTTGTGCTTCAAGTGTATTTAAACATTGATGGATTGTACCATTAAATTCTTGTTTTTCTGAATATCCGTTTTTGAATACCCATTGATACCATTGAATTTTTTGTGCTGGATTGAGTACATACTTTCGAAACTTATCATTAAAATAATTAGCACACAATGAACATCTATTGAACATACAATTTTCATCATCTTCATTGCATACCAAAGCTTTTGAAAATGATTGAAGTGAAACTAAATTAGGATTATTAATACATTTGGATAATGGCTTTAGTAATAAATTAACATTTTCATGATAACTACACAAACAACTATGATGAGGCATATGAGAATATGTTAATACATTCAATGGACGCAAAGTACGAAAGGAGTTAACTGACAATGCATCATTTGTAATATTACGATCGATCAAAAATAATTCATATGTTCCACGAATGCTATTCAATAAAATTCTTTTTTGCAAAGTTGTTGAACCATTTTCATCTTTTATTGTAATATGGTCACGTTTCCCAGGCATTTGATGACTGATATCATCGCGGTTGTAAAAGTTAATCACAGCTTGTTTTAATTCGATCGGTAACTGTCGTTGTTGACGTTCTTGCTGATTAGTTGTTCTTGGAATAATATCAAGTGTTTGTGCTATATGACGAACTACAGTAATACGTTTATTTGGTTCTTTTGGTAATGATTTCTGGGCACGTTTAATGGCTTTACCCAATGATTGACGACTTTTGTATGTTGATGATTGATTATCATTTAGTCGCTTTAATTTTAATCCATCACGATATTTCTTTGATGCCTGCTTTTGTCGTATACGTAATTGATTTAATGCATCACCTGTCAGATTTTTGCGCCTTGTATTATCTCGCATTCGAGATTTTTGCTTCATTTGTTCAAATTTTAATTTATCTTTTGCTAAATTGGCACGATATTTTTTCTGCCTTTCGACATTTGATTTTACCATTTTTAGCTGTAAGTACTTGTGTAATATAAATTCTATTTAATTAATTTATAAACAAAAAACAATTTCTTGAATAAAATTCTGTCGAGATCTTCGTTTTACAAAATGAGAAATCGAAATTGTCAATAGACTAGAACAATAGCGTACTTGAGACAAATTGATGAATTTGATTGGTAAATTTATTGTAATTATAACAGCTGTACGAATTAAAACCAATTAGAATATTCTCTAATGAAAATTAATTTTACGAGTAGCTAACATAAGAAGTTATTACACATAGATGAAAGCTATCTTTGAGTAACTGATGAATAGTTTCAAGTTTTTATTTATATGCATTTAACAAAACGAAATGGTGAAAAGTCGTCATCGCGTTACGAAAAAAAAATTTTAAAAGGAAATTTTTTTCTTGAAAATATGTGCATTAGATAGCTCATGAAAAGTTAGCTTTACACATGTATTTTAAGCCACGATCGTTTCGCACCAACAGTAAAAAAAAACAATAATGATTTTTTGTTACGCGATGATGTTATAAATATTGCCTTTTCCCTCTCACTCTCTGTACAAAAGTACAAAGGATAGAAAATCAATTCTTTTGCTAGTAGATGCCTTTACTAACATAAAATTAATACGTGATTATCAAGCGCGTATATATTGAGAAGTTTCGGTAAAACACCTAGTTAGTTAAATGGGTCAAATTGACTAATTTTCATCATATAGTGGTGACATCTTTGCCAGGAAATGCTAAATGCGTTTTAAAACGTATTTGACCGAACAAGATATATTTTCATACATTTTCGACCATGCCCTACAACATGCAAATAACAGTTTCTTAGATCGACGATTTCGAACTTCCGGTGTCAGAGGTGACGCGTTACGATTTTTTGCCGGGGTGTGGGTGTAATTGGTTATTGTTTACTTTCACCAAAACCCAGACCCACCACACCCACACCCAGACCCCACACCCACACCCTCTAATCTATTTCTCTACTATTGATTATTTGAGAACATGCTGATCTCGATTGATGATCGAGAGAGGACTATCCTGAAGTAGTCTGACGGAGATTAGGCCAACTCAAAGTCAGTCAGATGCCAATATCTGTTGTTTGAGTTATTCGGGATAGAAATCATTAAAATGAAAATAAATTGAAAAAGTATCATAGCATGCTTTTACAGAAAAAATAAAGCATACGCTGTATGATAAGTTCGAATACGCTTTCAAAATGCGTGATACATTTTGTTGCAAATCACAATACAGGCAACATGTTTTAAGTTAGTGTGTATCCAAGATCTTATGGATTTCTATCTAAGATCGTACACATCTGTGCCCAAAATCTATAATCAGATCTTGGTACAAGATGATCGTATTATCTTGTACCTAAATTTTCAAGATCTTTTCACTTATCTGTGCCCAAGATCTTGGCCAAGATCTTACTTACAAGATGTTCGACTAGGGCACCCACACCCACACCCACCCCACACCCACACACTCCAAAGTTCGAAGGTATTTTTTTCTCTTCTATAATAACAACATTTCTATCGCACTTTTCTAGAAATGGGGATTTTCTCACCAATATAATACATTCCCACTTTCCAATAATCTATTCAAGATAGGTGAAACAATCTTTAAAGGTTCAAAGATCATACTGCACTTTTTTAATCCATTTTCAAAGATAAGGTGTGGAAAATTTAAAGTTTAACCAGAAAATAGTTTTTTGCCTTGAATGGACTGAGTTTGTCCAGTTACATCGAAAGAATACAATCATAGAGATTTGAAAATTGGCTTACGCCGAAAAAAAATCCAAACCAGTAAGTTTTTTGAAAACACGCAAAAATGAATGAAGATTTGAATATTATGTAAAATATTCGCATTCATTGTCATTATAAAATTTCCATACTACCTTTTTGCAATTTTCCGTGTGAAAGTGTCTGAAAAATCTCAACTAGCTGCTTTTGTAGTTTGAAATGAACTGTTTGCTCTCAAAATAATAGTAGAATCATGAAAAGGCTTTCTAAACATTTCTAAACCTATCAAGTACTATTGTATGAGTATTACAAGGGTGACTTTTCGTGGATTATAGTCAGTATACCAATGAGAAAAAAGCAGCGCATTGAATAAACTATAAGGATTCGTTATTCCGAAAACCAAATTTTTCCATATTAGGATTAAAATTAAAAAAATGAGAACGTACTTCGAAATTTTGACAATCAGAATTGCGTTTTCAAGTAAAACGCACGTGATAGGCGAAACAAGCACAACACATCGATCGAAGAACACAAATTTTACTAAAAATCATGTTTGCCATCGAAATTTGATCTGAGGGAGCAGTGAGACAAATTCATCTCCGCTAAACCAGATTAAACGTAGGGATTGAATTTCAATGTCAAATATTTATTAATGATACTTAATGTCATTCGATCCACTTCGTCATGTTGGTTTCNGCGAATAATGTGGGCAATGCTCCATATTGTATTGCACGGTTTTAAATTCAATAGAAAGCACCTAAAATCTTTTCTTTCTTCGTAACTGATGGACATTTAACATAAAATTGGTCGTTAAGAATTTGAAGAATTCGAGATATATATGCGTTCCTATATAGTGAAAATAATTCTTTGCCACTACTTTGCGATTCAGTAAGAGATAAACATATCACAAAAATTCACGTTTTTAATCCCAAGTCAAATCGAATGAACCGTAAACGGTCTTAAAAGATTTGAAAAACGTGAAAAGCGGTTTCCATTACGGTCATCGTTTACGACTCAACGGAAACAGCCATCGTTCTGACTGTCGGTTTTACCCCATTTTCATGCGTAACAAAAATCCATTTCATAAACATCATAAGATATGTTCTAATGATGTTTAGTGGACAAATCTTAATGATCTTATCTCCTATTTCTACTTGGACTGATTTTTAATGTTTCGCGAGAGGGATTTGCTGAGGGTGAAATGAACGGTAGCGTTTTTTCTCTTAAATTTTGATTTTCTGTGTTAATGTGAAGTCCCGATGAACTTTTTTGAACTAACTTAGCATCGACATAGATTTTGTTGAGATCTATTCAACGATATAATGTACACTCTACAAAAAAGTTTCTGCCTTGCCCTGTGATGATTGACTTGGTATTAGTATTGACTTATCGAGTGAACATACACATATTCGCTATTTTCTTTTCATAAGTTCTATAGATGATAGAACTTGTTCATTGGTTTTCTATGGGTTTAGCAGTACGCTTATGCAAGTTTCAATGGTATTGCGTACTGCGTATCCAAACAGCGGCTCGTAACCGTTTAAAAATGACTATTGAGTTGCTAGTTAAAAAATACGCCTTTGAAAGTATAGGTTTTTGATCAGTGACTTCTTTTATCTAAAAAGAGTGTATGTGGATGTGGGTGGCTGTAGGGGTGCGTAGTGAAGCAGTATTATTACCCACATCCACACCCCACACTCAAATATATGTTTAAATGCATCATTTAAATAAAGCAACATTCATTAAAGATGTTTTTAAAGTTAATTTCTAAGTGTTTTCAAATATAATCTTAAATAATAATAATAGTAATAGTTTTAATGAAAAGAAAAAAAAATTGTTTTTTGTTTTGTTTTATTAGTCTCTCCTTTATATATTTTGTTCATATGATGTTTGATAAACTTTTTACTGCTGATAAGTACCACTTCGTAACGTTTCATTGATACCAGCTGTAGCTACTTCACGAGCTGCTCCATATACAGTTGAACTAAAGACAATTAACAAATTTCAAATATAATTTTATTTGTTTTTATAATTGATTTACTTTTTGACAAAAGTCGATTGAAATTCTCGTTGTGGTTGTTCAAGAGTTGCACCCGATTGTCGTTATAATCGATGAACCTATCACATATATCAAATTGAAAATCATTTCCAACAAACAAATCAAAATAAAGCATTGACTGAATCAAACATATCAAAACAAAAGTTTCTTATTGTTGTTTTTGTTTTTTCTAATAAAAAACGAAATAAAATCTAACCTTGAATAATAAAAACCCATCGGTAAGAGCAATCAAAGCAAAACTAAATGTAACAATTATAACAATAATGCCAACTCCAATTTTACTTCCTCCAGCTAAGAATAATTTAATCATCAATGTAAAACTACTAAAACAAAATATACATACACATAGCAAAAGTTTTATCGTTGTATTTATATTTCGAAATGAATTATTAATTAGTTTTTGAGCATAAGCAAGCAAAAGCAAATATTAAAAAGAAAAAGAAGCACCCACCTAATGCCATCAATAATTGAAATTGCAAAAATAAGATAGGCGATTATAACTAAAGCGTCAATGAACAACAAAATGGAACTATGATTTGGAAAAATTCACATTAATATAAATAATGGGTTATTCTTTCGAAAGTGTATCAGAGTTTACATCGAATTTCTACAAATGGAATGAAACTTTGATTTAAAAATCTTGCGAACAGGTCCGAGTAGCAGTGGCTAGGTAGATTTTCCGAGCTAGACTGAACCCTACCTGATTCCTCTCTTTCAAATGATAGAAGTCAGAATTTTTTATCATAGATATTACCCATTGTGATAATCATTTTTTGTAGCGGACGTTTGTTTTGCCTCTGTTCTGTCGTTTGTAAAATCGCTATGGAAAATTTGGTGGGTGCTTCTTTTTCTTTTTAATATTTCCTTTTGCTTACTTATGCTCAAAAACTAATTAATAATTCATTTCGAAATATAAATACAACGATAAAACTTTTGCTATGTGTATGTATATTTTGTTTTAGTAGTTTTACATTGATGNCACTGAGAGCTTTAACTAGTGCTTTGGTGTCAGAATAGTCGGTCTTAATCAAATTAACATTGGAAGGAAACGTTGCAGAAGAGTTTATGCGAGTGAGTACAGTCACAAAAAATGAGGAATCGGCGAGAAGGGACTCAAGAATATATTTGCCGAGATTGCCGGTGGCACCAACGAGCATAACGTTTTTGTAGTAAGTGCTTGCCATTTGTTACGAGAAACCAGGTATACTGCTATGTTAAAACGAAAACTGTATAGCAGCTTTCATAAAATTTATATCTTTCGTTCTGCTTCATCAGCATGACAGACCATTTCTTTTCTTTTTGACGCTTAGTGTTTATTTCTATGTAGGAAAAGTTACCTATTAGTGATGACAAGGCAAAAAAGATGTATTAGTCACGTTAGATACGTGAGTGAATAGAAAAAAAAAATTAATTACAAAGACGAATAATGAAAAGAAAACAAATGATAAAATATATAGATGGCATCTTATGATGATCGTGTCGCACGGGGATACCGTTTAAGGAAAATAGGGGCGCCATGATAGAGACATAGGGAATTCATTAAAGAGGAAGAAAAATTGGTTACTCATGTACCGAATAGATATCATTTTATTCAGTTATAACTTACTTCAAAACAGTGAATGTATTAGTGTTTGATAGTCGCAGACTAAATTTTAGAAACTTACTTCATAGTATTGAATAAGTTGCTGCTATTAAACAATGGTGCGATCATTGTCGAATTTTGTGTACATTTTCAATCAACCTTAATTTGTTTTATTTTAAATCGCTAGAAAAAAGCTATTTTTTTGTTATATTTTTGTACAGTATAGTGTTCTAACAGACTATAAAATAGTTTAAACTGGACGTGTTTGAGACACATTTTCGTGAATTGCCAAATTTAACTACAACTGCCACATTTTTTCTCGTTTATCGCTTCAGAAGAATACCAAAATAATGTACACTGGTTGAAATTCAACTAAATCATAAAATTATCATTTTTAGGACATTTTTTCGATGAAAAGTGATTGTATCTTAGTGATACATTTTTTAAAAGAAATTTTATTGGTGATTGTTTGTTCACGTTTACGCACACATATTTTGGTTATACCTTCTGATGACACGATTATTTACCTTATAATTTTTGGAGAAATTGGTGTTTTTTGTATTTAACATAAAATTAGGTTATCAATGGATCAATTCTATAGTGTCTATGATTATTTCGAACACTCACTATTTAAACAGAAATTTTAATCAAATTTTAGAACTATAAAGAGCACAGAAACATCTTGTAATACATGACAAGGAATAATAGTAAAAATAATATTTATCAAGTTCTTAATTGCAGCACTTCGATGAACTAAATGATCATTTTCAAGACTTTCTAAACCAATTAATCAATCAAGCTTCAATTGTACCCTGAGAAACAATTTCAATTACATTTTAAAATTGCAAAGAGCAATATTAGTAAAATAATGAAGCGAAAATAATTACTTTGATAATTGACATATCAAACAACAATATATATTATTTGTAGCATGCTTTGTTCTTTATTGTCCTACTTTTTTTTTTACTTTTCATAATTTTAAATTGTAATTTAATTTATATCTAGTCATGCTATGCGAGTTTGATTAATTGGTTGGGTTTGAAAGTCTTGAAAATGTTCACTTAGTTGATATGCAATACTGACACCAAGGAAATTCATAAATACTATTTTGACAGCCGTTCTTACTTTTGCATTAGTAAATAAACGAAAATGTTTTTAATCCTGAAAGAAAAATAACACAAGACTCCAAAATCATTCTGCATAGTTTACTACAACTGTTCTCGAATGTTTTTTCTCTTAACTCCAGCTTCTATATTTGGTACTACAATTCATTTTTTTGACAAAAATCAATGATTTTTTCCGAAATTTTTGAATAATTGTTCTGTTATAAACTTTTTAATATCTTAAAATTTGAAGGCGATTGATACTGGTTTCATTATTTACAAAGCCATCCATGTAGGTATAGTGAATTACTTTTTCATAAAAACTATTTTGAATGTAACTACATCTGGCCCTTCTACGTATTTTACTACCAATAAATAATCTTGCCCTCTATCTAAAACACGTAGAAAATTTCAATTGCTGATATTACTTTCTCAATTATTAAGTCAAAGTATTCGGCACCAAATTCAATTGATTATCTGTTTCTATATCTGTGTCTCAGCAGAGCAGATCACAGACTCTCGATAGGCTTAGGGCACCAAAAGCTGTTTCACACTGTGTTTTCAGAATTACTCGTGATAAATTATTGGTCCTATTCCATGCTAAGATGGTTTCCATTTATCATGCGAAAAGTCAAATGACAATAATATAAAAAGATTGCCCCAATAAAATAACCAACACTAATGACTGCATCCAAATCAAAAACACAACTCCATTGTTCATGATTATTCTCAAGTATTCATAAACTGTTATTGAAAACATAACTCATTGCACATGCGCACCAAATCAGCATTCAAAATAAGCAGAATTCAAACTGTACTACCGTTTATAAACAATTTGTAACCATGAAACATTATGAACCAAACGTGTTTTCTAGATACCTAGGAAAACATTAAATAGTAAACTATTTCAAGCATCATCAGATGGTAACATAGTCGAGAGAATAGAAGAATGTTGGTTATTTTGTGATACATTCTCCAGATTTTGTGCTCCCGACGGTTCGATGTGGTTGGCAGAAAGATCTAATATTATGAATGTCGGTGTAAAAAAGTGTAGATGATAATATGAGGCTTTGGATATGGGGGAAGGTATGGATGTGATTTTGCTTGCAGAAAACATTATTTGCACTACACGTTCACATTAGCATGTACTCACATATCTAGAATCATAGTCGTAACTGTGTTTAAATTAAATTAAAAGTGTACAGTTCGATTAAGGAAATTCGTCAAATGATGCTTTAACATTTTGTATTAAATCATAGAAAAGGATTGAGTCGTAAGATGCCTCGTTTTTGTTTCATATGCTCTTTTTGTATACTGTTTCCAAATTTCAACTTTAATCATCGTCGTCATGATGGACAGAGACATGAGTTTTCTTGTAAGTGAAAACAATAGTGTTTTTTCCTTCACTTTTCTTTCTGACACTCGACGAAAACAAAATTTTGGTGAATGTTTAGAGATTATTTTGTTCTAAGCACTTGTTACTTTTTAGACGATTGTCAAGTCTTTTCCTAATTTGGGTGTGAGTGAGTCTTCATCTTCCCTCCACACACAGAACCACAACCACACCTACATTCACAAGCCATGAACAGAAAAAAAAAGAAAATCACCAATAGTCATTTTCACAATCTAATATTGAAATTGATTACATAATGCTACTTATATTCACTGCTGTCATCAAAAATGTTTTGAGATAATGCGAGTACCAATAAATACCTAGAAAGATAAATATATGTACCGACAATATATTTTTATTATTTTTAATTTACCTTATAAAAAAAGCAATTATTCGATTAATATTTAAGTACGACATGAAAAACATTACCACCACTTCGCAATCAATGATATATTCATTATTAATATTACATTTTTTTTATTATTTTTCTTCTATCATATTTATTATATTAATTGAATTAATTGACTGTTTTCTGTTATTATTCGAATTATTCTCGTTCGTATTTAATGAAGCAAATTATAATATAAGGGATTTAAGTAATACAACAATTATTGTAGATATAGACGATCATGATGATAAATATATTGTTAGACGAAAATTTTGTTGAGCAAAAACCATATAAACAAAAGTATGAGTACAAAAGTTCACGAGTTTTAGTTCTATTTGATATGTTTACATTACTATTTTATCAATCGATTTCAACTAAATAATCTATCTTTATCTTTATCTTGATCATCAGTATTATTTCAAACAATTTCTTCATCATATTTATCTATTCTAATTGATGTTATTAATCTTGAAACTCCAGTTAATGATTGTTTATTATTTTGCAATGATAAAGATTTTAGTGAATGTGTATTTACTAATGTTAAACTATCTCATATTGTGTAAAGTGTATATTATTGATTGTATTTTAAAAAAAGAACTTTTTCTAAGTGACAAATCTGAGAAAAGGATAACAGTCTTCGTTGAAAGTTTCATTTTTTTTTGTTTTCTTTAACAATAGAATTTTAATAAACGTAAATAGAAAAAAATGTTTTGAAAAATTTATTCAGACTAATGTTTTTCGAAAAGTTTTCTACGAAGTTTTTCAATATGATTAAGAAGAACTTTTTTGTTTTATATAAGAAGTCTTTTATTTATTAAAAGAAAAAGGATAAAAAAATAAAAGTTTTGATATCTCATTGAAATATAATAAAGATATTGAATGTTGCTATTCATTATTGAATAGCATTATCAAATGAAATTTTTGAATTATCAGGACCAAAAAATATATTGAAAAAAGATTCTCATCAATCTTCAAATTCAAATAGATGGAACATTCTATTTTCAAGAGTCAATCAATAATTAACATGATTAAAGTTCTTTCAATTAGTAATAGAAAAATTTATCTAATAAAAAAAAACATTTCCACGTCAAATAAAATATATATCTGAGCATCCAAACTGAGAGTAGGTCCAATCTTGCATTGACCTAAGCGAATGTCGAATCTGATATTGAACGGACAGTCGCGACTAAGCCGTTCTCAGATAAAACATAGAACATACGTCCATTCTAAGCGCATTTTATTTTGTGTACGAAACAAGCATATGAACCAGTAAAAAGTAATAAAAAGTTTCACGTATGAGTTTCTACATTCGAATAATCTTGTTCCTCATCCATTGATTTGCCTCTTGTCTCGGGCAAAATCATTGTTAACAAAAGAACAACCACTCCTAGAAATGATGACAGGTAGAATGCTACTGATACGTATTTCTCGCTCACAGAAGTACTGATAATTGGCGCAATAATAGCTCCAAGGTGACTGAAAGTAATGAAGAGTCCGTTTGCAGTACTTCGAATAGAAGTCTGAAAGAGTTCGGGTATGAATATCCAAGACACTGATATTGCGCCTGATATGGCATATTTTCCAAATTGAGCAACGAACACAGTAGCTAATGCACCATGTTGACTAACAAATGGTATGATGAGGACGCAAACTGCTGTGAGAGTCATCATAATCATGAATGTACCTTTACGGCCGAGTCGTGTTACTATGAGAAAAGAACCAGTTATGTAACCAATAGCTTCAACGACAGCTCCAATGAGAATTCCAAGATACGGTGATATATTCATGACTTCAAAACCGTAGCTTATTTCGTAATAAAGCAAGTATGTTGTAAAACCAAGAAGATCTGTAATTAATACTTTAATGACGGTGGGTCTATGTAAAAAAAGTTGACGAACTTGTTGGAAGAATGACACTTTCGTTTCATTGTTAATTTCTGTGATCGATTGATTACGTAAGAATTCCTGATACGATGGATACCATTGTTCTTCTGTTCGTTTATTTCGTGTTGCAATTCGACGCAAAAGTGCTTCGAGTTCAGTATATTGTTGTTTGGCATAGAGATAAAGTGGCGTTTCCGTCATAAAATAGAGATAAGGTAAAACTGAACCAATAAAAACGACATTGACCCATTTCAGCTTTTGCCAGTCAAGAGTAAGATAGGCAGAGAGAGTGATTATTGCTTCACCGATTGTATAAGCGACAAGTGCCGTATTTCCAACGAGACTCGTATGAGTCGATGATGTTATTTCGAGCATGAGAATAAAAGCCATACTGTAAGTCGCAATGGTAAGACCAGATACTAGTTGATTGAGGAGCAATAGGGCGAACCTATCAATGTATTCAAATTATATATTTGAAAGCATGTCGAAAAACATCTACGAGAACATTTAACATAATCACTTTTGCTTGAATTACATAAGATATGTGTGATCCAATTACTTTTAGATATCGAAAATCGTTCTGATCCAATGCTAGGGATAATGGAATTTGCTTTGGTAAGAAGAATTTTCATTAAATTTTTTTTCTTGACTGTTAAAATCACATTCAACTTCAGTACAAAATATTCCGTCTCGAAATTTCAATGAAGATTTTGAAAATATATTTAATTCTAAAAAACGTGAAGTCGCAAAGTCATAGGTCACGAAAGAAAACAACAAAGACTCATTGATTGTCATTAAAAATATCTGAATTAGTCAACTTACTTGGCATTTGCTGTCATTGGTATCCATTGCATAAAGATTTGTGTAATGACACACAGCACAAACAGAAGAATAGTTGTTATAATTGTTGTTCTTTTTCGTCCAAACTTGTCACCTAAAGAACCGATTATAAGCAATGAGAAGCCACCTGTTTGCATTAATGTATTCAGCCAGCTTTTCTTTGGTTCACTATGACAAACAAGATTTGCTTCTTCAGTAAATGAGTAACCAAAAACAGAGCGATCATATGCCCAACCATTCGGACAATTGATCAGCGTTCGATGCTGATCATTGGTCGTATAGCGCATACACTTGTTCCATTTGCCATCTGTTCCTTTCGGAATGTACTCATTGATAAGAGCTTCGTGCGTTTGATTTATCGGCTTATAATGTACATCGTTGGACCATACCGACGGTGACAATTGGCATCGATGGTTTAGATCAGCTGCACCGAATACATAATAGAAAGCAACAATTCCTGCAGTCATCGAAATGAGATTCATAAAAAACAAATGTATGAACTGAAATGGACCAAGATCACCACACAGGCGTATAATACCATCCAGTGATATTGGTTTTGTTGTTGAGGATGATTGTATTCTCATGACATTGACTTGATCTATCTACAAAATATTCCACATTAATAAGGAATACAATAATTAGAAATATGTTCACTTACATTGATGCTAGAAGTATCAGCATTGGAGTTAACACAAGTCATGTGACTTTTTGATTTTGTTAAAACCGTTTGCTTTCTTCGTCAAATATCAGAGGTAAATAGAGAGATAACGATACTCATGATCTTCAATATTTTATCATACTTCGTATTCTTATGAGACAAAAATAACGACTCGTTCTTTTTGTTCTTGACAGCATCTGGCGAAAATGAAAGACGTAACAATACATGCAGTTACCACAAAAATTATTAGCATGATTTTGTTTTCGATCAAAGATAATCAAAACAGGAACTTTTTAATATTTGTTGCATATCAAAAGAATCATCACTTCTTCTAGTATTTGTACTATAGAAAGTAGGATTGTTGAATGGCGCCTATCTAAAATGATAGGTCAATCTTTGAAAATCATGCATGTTTTTTTTAAGCAAACAATTATTCATATACTATCAATTACGGTGAAAGTTTCTTTCTTCATTGTTGAAAAATATTTAATAATAAAGTCATTAGATATAGAAAAAAACAATTAACAACGTTCAATATTTTTTGTGAGACTGAATATTCTTTTCTCATTTTTAACTTTTACTGATGTTATTCGCACATGTTTTTCGTCATTTCATTTTTTGAAATTGATTACGTTCATTATTGAACTTTTCTCTATTATGTTAGATTATTGCGCTTGTCCTACATGCTACGTTTATCTTAAGATGTGTTTTTTTCTTCAGTCCTTTTTTTTTCGAGAGCATTCACGATCTATTTGATAATAAACTGCTGACATGGCACTAAGATATTTTTTTGGAAAAGATCTTAGTGTCAAATTTCCTCATATAGATATTTCAATATAAAATTCAGGGTTTCTAAAATAAGTAACTTTCCTTATTGAATAGAATTACAACATCAAGATAATGCTACGAATATGTTACTCATTCTTTTCTACATCTAATGAGTGTATAATTAAACTTTTTAAACCCATGAAGAATGAAACTTGCACCGTAATCAATGGCATACGAATAATTGTTGTGTATAATAAAAGCGCGCATGATTTTCAAAGATTGACCTATCATTTTAACTAGGATCAGTCAATAATCCTAGTTTTTATAGTGTCAATACTAGAAGACATGATAGTTCTTTTGATATTCAGCAAATCCTAAAAAGTTCTTATTTTGATTATCTTTGATCAAAACAAAATAATGTTAATAATTTTTGCGACAACTCTATATGTAGAGTCATTATTATCTGCAAGTTGTGCTGCAAACTCCAGTGATAATATTTATATTGTCACATGACGATATCTTTTATAAGATATGCGTGCTAAGAAGTGGTACAAGATGTTTCCTAATATGAATTGATCTATGTTCATCAACGTTACAATTTGAAATATAAAACTCCGCATATCGAACCGCACTCAATGCATTTTTTCACAAATTATTAAAAGCCTAAAAATGGTACAAGAAAATAATTTGACTTAATTATGTAAAACTATAAACTTTATTGAATCCAGATAAATTTATTTTCTAATGATTTATATTATTGTTTTCATCCTTTTTCAGTAAATATACATAGAACAAAAAAGATAAGATCAAGTAATAATTCATGTAGACTTTCATAAATCCATTTTTGAATCAAATCAATTTTCTACATAGTTAACTCATGAGTACTTTGATTTTCCTCAAAAACCAAATTATTCTATATTATGTATAGATTTCTATTTGTTGCATGATGATTATTAAGAGAATTTTAGAGCAGAAGTTTTTCTGTATATTTGTCTGATTATTGAAATATTCTAAGAGAAAAAATAAGGAAATTTTTAACGATTTTCTTATCGAATTGATTGATTTCAAAACATAAATGAAAATTTTTAAAAAAATGAGCAAATATAAATATACAGAATCTTCCAAAAGTCATAATTACTTAATAATTGTGCGCCACTCCATTAGTAACCAAGGTTAATATAGTATTTCTTTTTTGTTATTTAGAAGAAGAGACCAGTAAGTTTTTTTTTTTCATAGAGACAAAATTCATGAATACTCTTCAGAAACATTACCTTTGACTTCAATAGAAAGAGTTACATGTTTCAATTTCAAAAATAACCATCATGCATTGTTCTATTTTATTGTATTGAGAAATCTGATGGTGTTACGTCTGGTGATTGAGGAGTTCATAATATTACATTAACTCTTTCGGTCTACTTATCATTGATGATAAAACACTTAATCCAAGATGATTATTATGAAATGCTGTAGAATTTCTTTTTATCTGACTTTTACAAAAGAAATAGTTGCTTAACTTTAATTTTTTTCAGTAACATAGTGTACCAGTTCGATGGTAGACGGATCGAAAGAAATGGTTTAATATTATGGGTCCTTTGATAGAAAGTTTGACACCATCCGATTTTCATATATGAGGTTAACTCAGACCAAATGTCTACAAAAAAAAACCCGTAAAACATCTCTATTATTGAAGTATTCGAATAACGCAAGAAATCGGTATATTAAAAAAAAACCATGCATAATGATTTCTTTTTGAAATCGTAAAACACCTAAATTTGTGTATTGAAGCCAAAGATAATGTTTTTGCAGAGTGTTCATGAACTTTGTCTTTATGAAAGAAACTTCCTAGTCTCCCCTTCCAAATAAAAACAAAAATATTAGATGAAACTTGATTAATAATGAAGTTATGTGTAATTTTAAAGTGATGACGACTTTTGAAACATTATGTATATTTGACAATTCGATATAAAATTCAATACTTACATATTGAATAGTACATAAAGACTATTCAAATCCTTCAATAAAAAGATATTTGAATTGAATAGTGATTGAAATAATATAAGGAAATATGATTGTAGGCGTTTTATGTTGCTCTCTTAAATCACGACAAAAAATCTAAAAAAATTAATAACTCTATCATGAGAGAAAAAGCGTAATTGCATTTATATGTCCATAATAATTTAGGGATGATCATTTATCATTATTGAAGACAAGAATATGCAGAAAAAAAATGAGCAGGGTTATGGGGGAGAGTGTGAAAGACATTCCCTCATAATTGAAAGAGTGTACAGGTAATTTTTTTATAAATAGGATAATATAGAATTATTTTTTCTTAAAATATTGTTTTTTTGTTTAGAAAAAAAATGAGTCATTGTTCAAAATAAAATCTATATTCTCTTCGCTCACATGGTTACATCCCTTCTAAACATCTTGAAACTCAGACATTGATACCGTTAATTTGTCACTATAACAGTGAAATTGAGATGTCATCACTTACTATATAAAAATTGTTCGTATTACGATGACAGTTAATCGATAACTGACTATTTAGTTATTGTTATAACTCACTCATCATTAAACTTTTATTTGAAGCAGATAAAATATTTGTTTTTCTTTTTTGGCATAATTTAATAGTAGGATATTTTATTAAAATACAAAGTACATGGAATATTAAAATAGAAAACAAATAATATCATTATATATTCATTACTCTCTTCTCTAATAGATCATGATAAATACTTAGAGTCATATTATCGCTTTTCTGTCCTTACTGATTATAATAGATACAGTATATAATCTCTCTATAGTGAATAGCGAAGAATTGTTTCCAAACTATCCAATATACAGAAATATTCACTTTTGGAAGGTTCTTTGATATTTTATTTTGAAATAGTTGTCGAAGTCTATCTCGTACGCTTTTTTTCTCGAGATCATATATAGTATAGAACTGAGTTGAAAACAACTGCTCTGGTCAATTTTTGAAAAATTTCAATTGTGGTGATTCCTTTTGCAAGAGTCAATGATAAAAAACTTCTTTTGCATATCTTCTTTCATCTCGTTTTCACATCTATATTTTCTCGATTGTAGTTCTATTTGAGAGTATAGTACATAAGAGTGTTGAATGCAACCACCAGGAATGGCTATTTACCGTTTCTGTGAAAAATAACGGTCACTTGCTTTCTTCAAAACATTTATGTAACTTATTCTGGACTATCAAATTGTGCTCAGATTGTTGGCTTGTTTCCGTTAGTATAGAACGGATGAAGATGCAATTGATTTTTGAGAAAATGGAAGTTACAGTTAATTTTTAAGATAGCTAAAAATGACTATCTTTCACTAAAATACATGAGACTTCTTGTCTTGTTTTTTTGAGATACTACATTAACCATTCGCATGCTACTTTTTCTATATATAATTGATGTTATCTCGTGCTTCTAATGAATGTCTTAAAATCTGGAACAAAAGAAAATCCAGAATCTTGGCAATCGACATAAAAAACAAAGATTCTATGGTACGGGAATTTTTCGAATCTTTAGACAATGCTGTAGAACTGGAGAATTATTCACTTTCAAAAGATTTTTCAGTGTGAACAGGATCAGAAAAAGAATTCATCGTAGTTCAAAATAGAAAAATGTTCATCTAAATAATTCTTATTCTTGATTAGTTTTTGAGCTAATGTGAAATATAATAAGTATGACAGTTATCAACTGTTTTTTCTGTTTTTCATATCATTGAGAAGTTTCATTGGACATTCTAATATCTTCAATGCGTCGAATAGCTTGATTTGCTCTAAGACGATATGGGTGTGTTTCTGGTAAAACCAATTTAGCGAAAATATCATCTGCCTTATTTAAAAATATTAACGCTTCATCAAAATCGCTTTTCATTTCGCACAAAAGGCCAATACTCATTAAAATATAAGCAGCATTTGTATGAAAATACGGTCGAGTTTTGCCATACATAGCAAGAGTTCTTTCAAAGTATTCTTGTGCTTTGTCGTATTGCCCAATATTTCGGTAAACTTCGCCAATATTATGTAAAGAATTGGCTGTTTGAGGATGATCGATAGGAAGAAATTTCTCCTAGATAATAAGTGCCTTAAAATGACACTCGACAGCTTGTTCATGTCTTCCTTGTTTTTCGTACATCATACCAATATTATTGAGCGATAAAGCGACTCTTGGATGCTCTTCTCCATATAAATTTTTATATATTACTAATCCTTTTTTATATCACTCAATAGCTGATTGATAATCATACTTATCTTCATAAACTAATCTAATCCTATTATAAGTATTTCCAAGAAGTTCATCACCAGGTGGTAAAGTTTCTAGACGTATTTGTAAACCTTTATAAAGTAATTCAAGACCACTTTGATGATCTCCTTGAGCATTTACAGCAAGACCAAGTTTATGTATGCAATTAGCTTTGTCTGGATGTTCGTCTGGAAGTTTGTTAAGAAGACCGCGAAAATATTTTTCAGCCTTATCAAATTGTTCCATATCATCAAGAGCATTCCCAAGATGAATCAGATTTGGTGTTTCATTATCACCACCACATAATTCATTTCTGATTTTTTCATAAACATCTTTTGCTTGATATTCGTTATCGCTACATAATGTCATTTCAACAGTCCATATTTGTTCATTCGGTTCGAATATAATTGACTCAAGCCGAAAGACACTTCCCAGCATAAAGAAAACTTCTTCTTCTTCAGGATAATTACTGAAATTTGATATATTAGCAAATGGTTTAATAAACTCAACAGAAGGATTTGCATTAATTTCAAACAGAAGTCGTTTTGGTGCATTCTCATTATCAAATACATTATTGCCAAGATAGAAAAGAGCTACATTTCGATTGAGACTAGTGGAAAGAAATGAATTCATGGAAATATATTGTCCAAGTGATTGTTGAAATATTTGAAATTCTTCTGATGACATCAATTGCGCACGAAAGACACGTAAAGCTTTCGAACTTTTTAATTGTTCTAGTTGTGTGCGTAGATCATGAATGAAAAAGCGTAGAAGAAAAAGTAAATCAATATTTCGCACTCGAAGTGCTTTATTCAATAGACGGTATAAAAATGATTCTTTTGATATACGATTTAAGAGCTTAATCAGCAGAATAATTGAGTTCAAAATCTTGAACAATGGCATTTTCAGAAGGATTTCTCTCATATTGCATTTTACAAAGATCAATAAATTCACTTCTACCCGATTGATTGAAATTCATGCGAAGAAGTGTATCAACAAATAATCGAGAAAACATAAATTCACCATTGAGATCTGTCGACGAACGGTCTACATTATTACAGTAAAACCTCCCATAGTGAACACCTCCTTATTACGAACGCTTTCAAAAAGTCCGAAAAATCGATTTTCGCTGGAAATTCACCTCCCTAAAGTGAACACCGCCGTATAGTGAATGGTTTTATTCGGTCCTGATGGTGTTCATAATAGAGAGGTTTTACTGTATTGATAATATTAAATATCATTGGATCTTCAACATTAAATCAACCTTGAGTATGATCACTTGTAATTGCTTGCAATACATGCTCCAGCTTATCAGTCAACAGTTTGATCTAACAAAAATAAAAATTTTTACTATGTAATAATTATACCTCAAATTATGGTGTGGCTTTGTGAAACATTCTATTCTAGATGGTCTTAGTTTCTTTGGAAAAAAAAGTAGAATGGAAGTTGTGAAACACATTAAATATATTTGATTTTTATTTCGAAGTATGCATAACATGACTAAAATTGTTGCCAATCTTGCGCAAATTAATTTTCGGCTCTTTTTTGTCTTCACTAATAATATAAATCGATGATACTTGTCGAATGTCATGAATTTGTCGTAGAAAATCAAAAACGAATGGTTTGCCAATAATAAGTACAACTTGAGTGCCATTTGAACAGCATTTTCGAATATAATGTTCACATTTATCAGTATCAGTAAATTTCACAAGACATTTAATTCTTTTATAAAATTCTTTTTGATAATTGACGTCAAAAAGATCTTCCGAGTTAGCAAGCCATACTAAAACAGATGGTTCGAGATTTTCGATCATGGTCATTTGAATATGCACCATCTTTATTCGTATCTGCTTGATATAGAGAATAAAACGGAAGTACAGTGGCGTTATTGATATAAGCAAAACATATACAGTGATTTTAATACACGCAGAATGAACAAATATGAAACGATGCCGTTCTTGATCAGATGTTTCACACAGGCATGACTCAACCTTCGGCTTGGCTTTTCTCATACAACTACTTCGTATAGAATCAAATGTTAAGTAACATACTATTGTTAGACACTTTTTTCAAATGTTTTTAAGGAATTATTAAGGAATCCAACGGTGTATACCTAGTAGAGTTAAACTATTGCCATGGATAACTTAAGTTGTCTTTGTAAAGCAATTTTTTATAAAACTAGAATATTATGAATAGCAATTGTTAGTGACATCTTCATTTAATTGTATGTCAACAATTGAAACAAACATCTTGTTTTGTTTCCCAAGGAAAGGCGTCTGCTGACAATAGAGAAATTAATATGGTTATAACCAAGAGGACAACGAATTTACAACATGATACATTCCTTGTCCGTGGAAAGCAGCAAAAAGAAAATATGTGCGTCAACCCGTTTCTGTTTGCTCTGTGTGAATGACTCATGCGATGCAACAAAAACACTTTAAATGACGCGACGAAAAAGGAGAGCGTGTTATCGTTTTTATTTCAACCAGACGGATTATGAATGAAAAAGTTATCAGAAGACAAGAACGTAAACATAGCCCCCGGAGTTTTCAACAACATTTCCGTGATTATGTACAAGTATTTTAACGGAGATTGACAATAAAGTATCTAAGTTTTATGTTTAGAAGACCGTGATAGAATAGCTTGGGTTGATTCAATATTTGAATATTTTGCTGTCGATAAAGCTATGCTTATGAGATTTTGAGTATGTTACCCTATGATATTTCTTGGCTCATCGTGTTCCCTTTTCCGAGACACTTTTTTGACTGTGTTCCTTCTAGCGCCACCTTCTTCTTCGAATCGTTAGTCAAGTAAAAGAGAAAAAGAGTCGTTTAAAGTGAAGTATTTTCAGTTTCTTCTTTGATTATTTTCGATGCTCTGTAATTTGTCAACAGTTGACATGAAATACTAATGTTATATGCACTTTTCAAAGGCAAGAAAAGAAACAATTGTAATTGAAGAAAATAGATAATCAAAAACCTGATCGATATTGTCTTCTGTTAAAAACCAGATTTTGATTCCAACTCGAGTAATTCATTCAATGTATAAAGTGACTCAATCTTAAGGTTTATCATTGATCCACATTACGCCAATATATTATTGGGAATATTTATGCTACTAACGTTATGATGAGTATTCAAGATCAAATTAAAAATAGTATTGATCTTCTCTTCAAAATGAATGTCTTCTATTTCAACTAACACTCAATTGATCAATCTAGAAAAAGAAACGATTCACTGCTTAAGCAGTCACAAATTCCAGAAAACGCGTATAAACGCATAAAAAAGAAAAAAAAAGTGATCCATTTTCGATCGCAATCGCGGTTCTCTTTAATGGGAGGGTGTGGGTGTGGGTGTTGGTGTTGGTGTGGGTGTGGGTGTGGGGTGTGTGGTGTGTGTGGGTGTGGGTGTGGGTGTGGGTGTGGGTACATTGTGAAAAGAAGGCTCACACTCACATCCACACCCCACACACCCACCTCACCGACACCCCATACACCCACACCCACGCCCACACCCACACCCATAACCAAATGTTTTCTCCAGCACTTTGGATAAATAAAGCATCGTTTAGTGCTTGATTTTTATTTTTCTTATTGGATAAGTCAACTTATTCTAGACTGGCCTAAATTGAGTCGGATTCAGAAAACTAATTCATCTTGGTTCAAGCTGCTGGCACTATAACCATCTTTCGAAAAAAGTTCAGCATTAAAAAGTATGGTGCAAGATCGAACTCTTTTGAACATTTGAAACCATTTTATGGTCTGGAATGGTTTTTTAAACTAGCTAAAACCTTTGATGGTTTATTGATAAAAGAATGAAACTTTAAAAGGTTCAGTATTTTCGCTAGAACCCTAAATGGCTCCATACAATACCTTTTCTTTTAAGAGAGTCAGTCATATAGGAACGCGTAGAAAATGAAACTGAACAAGTTCTCAAGCAGAGATCTATTAGACTACGCAGATATTCCTTAATTGGAGTGTTTTGAAATCTTTAGAAACCTTGAAATCTGATTTTCCCCCTGGGTGCATGTCTTTGCTATGGACGCTGATGCATTTGTGGATTCTGAATTTTTTTGAATTTTGTATTCAAGGTATGCAACTACTTCGACAGATTTACTATCAAGTAGAAGCAAAATATTTTTCCCTATCGTTTCAATACAAGTGAACTGTTGCAAAGATCTTTTTCTACAATGCTTTGTGCGTAACAGAAAAATGAGAGGCGTTTTCAACTTGATATACAAGAACATTAGCTACTGGAACCTCATAATCTCTCAAAGAAAAAAAAGTATCCTTTTCTATTAGCTCATTCTCCTCCATCTTTTATTATTATATCTTTATTTATATATCCATGAGTATAGCACAAGGTAAACTACACATGTATATATAGAGTCTATTCAACTGGTTTATTGTTTCAGATTTGTTCGACATATATAAAAATGTCTTATTTTCATGATAGTGAATGAACACAATTAATAATTTCTTGAAGACAAAAATAGTTTTTAAAAAAAAAACTACGCTATTTTATAAGTATATATTTATTGAATAGTTATATCATATACAAGCATAGAGCAGTATAAATTACATATATAATATACGTACAAGAAACTATTGATTGACCCTCTCTCTTGCATTTCAGTTAAAGAATGAGAAATATAAGATTGTATAGCTTTCTGTGCTGTATCAATATCACCAAAATGAGACATTTTTGTATATTTCGAACAAATCTGAAACAATAAGCCAGTAAAATGGACTGTATATATACATGTGTAGTTTAACTTGTGCTATATCCAGAAATATGTAAATAAAGAAATAAGAATAAAGGATAGGGAAGAAAGAGCTAATAGAAAAATGAACGTTTTTTTCTTTGAGAGAATATTATATGAGAATCTTCTTCTGAGCTCTGGTAATAAGAATACACCTGAAAACAGAGAAAACTTTCATTAGAATACTCTGGTTTCTGCTTAGTCAGAAGGAAAGAAATAATTAGTTTTGTAAATGGGATATAATAGTGTTCATCAGATGCGATTCTCTAGTTATTTGTTGATAGAGCTCTTTTCATACGGCTTTGTAAAGAATTGAATTTTCAAATAGTAAAAGCTGAGTGAGAAAAAAGCAGAATACGTAGAGATCTGTTACATGCTGAAAGAAAATTGGATGATGAGTCAATAGGATCGTGCTTTTGTCTTTGAATGTCATACCCATAGAAGATAGAAATGAAAAATCATAGTTCTTTCTGTCGCACATAGCAGCATTTCATTTGTCACTAGAAGATCGCTGGACCTGGGTGGTCCTTCTTCTATGCACAATTCATTCAAGTAATCTTTCTGTCATTTTACGTTTGTAAGAAGAACAATGAATACTTCTCAACCGTCATTTGGAATCAGTGAACCAAATCCACCAGGTAGCAGTGGTGGACCTCCTCGTCCACCGGAAATACCAACTTTAACAAACCTGCAAAGTAACGTTGCACTGTATGGCTATGCTCTTCTCTACATTCTCGCCATTTTTGGTCATATGAACACTTTACTCATCTTTCTTCGACCCACTCTTCGTCACGTGTCAACTAGCTGCCTATTCGTTGCACTCACTGTTTCTGATTCCCTTTATCTTCTTGTCAGTATCTATGATTTTATTAATACGGGTCTTCGACCACCCGATACATCGCTAAACCCATCTGCTGTATGCCGTTTTCATACATTCGCTCAGTCAACATTCATATGTTGTAGCGCATGGTTACTAGTGGCAATCTCGACTGATCGATGGGAACGCGTACGATTTCCATTCAAATCAAAACAAGTGTGCACACGAAGAAATACATTCTTGGTAACAACAGGGATAATTATCTTTCCCGCTAGTTTAAATAGTCACTTTCTTCTACCTCAACTATGTGGACGATTGCCAGCGGGTATCATGACAGTATGCGGTGCCAGAATGGTGAATCCTACCTATTTTCAGTTTTTTCGTCGAACGTGGCCTATTCTCTTTTCTTGAGTTGAAGCTCCTGCTACCGTTATTTGTCTACTTATCTTTTCTTTTGACACCTTTCAATGTATGACTCGACAATTTGTCATACGAAACGAGACACGTGCGCGTCGTCGTACCTATCTTGACAAGCAATTCTTATTGATAATGATTATCAGTATTACATTGTTTATGGTCACGACTCTCCCTGTGGGCCTGTATAATATATTGCAGTCGACTCTACTTCCCTCGCTTATGACACAAACACAACAATTGGAACTTTTTTCTATATTTACATTTGTAGCTGGTATAAACTATACCATCAATTTCTATTTACACTCATTGGCAAGTCCCTTGCGTCGTCAAGAACTCATGAAGATATTAAAGTGGTGACGGGAGCATACACGAGTAGTTCCAATGACGGGTGCAGTAGCAACAGTGAAACAACCACAAGCGAGATAACTAAATAGGGCACGATGTACATATATATATAATACAATTCATATATTACAAACATCGACTTTCACCGTCAGCTTATGACACAAACACAACAATTGGAACTTTTTTCTATATTTACATTTGTAGCTGGTATAAACTATACCATCAATTTCTATTTACACTCATTGGCAAGTCCCTTGCGTCGTCAAGAACTCATGAAGATATTAAAGTGGTGACGGGAGCATACACGAGTAGTTCCAATGACGGGTGCAGTAGCAACAGTGAAACAACNAAGTATTTCGGCAAGAAATTATTTTTTTACATTTTTGATAAACGATTTGTCATATAGGATTTTGAAGTATTTTTCACGCCCTATCTACTGATATATAATTCATTTGGTTTGAATTAAGTAATAAGTACATATATGTAAAACTTGACAACCAAAAGATGCCCCAATGTATACACAGAAAATTGAAGAAGTGATCGGATCGTGGACTTGTAAATACCTAGCAAAGTCATTTGAAAACCATAAAGTATACTTTCTACCATTATTTCCTTTGTTTCTACCCGAGCAGATCATTAAAATTCAATTGGGCCGATTTCTGTAGAAATCGCCCCCCGTCCTTTCTGAAATCACGGACAACAGGACTGTCAAGATCAGTGGAGTCCCCTGAAGTACGTGAGTTTGTGGGTGTGGGTGTGGGAATATTAAATTCACCACAAACATGTACACCTTCAAGCTAGATACAATACTCAAACCAGATAACGTTATGAATCATGAAGACTATGAAAGATGTTCTCTATTTCGAGTTTTGATATACCCATAACATGATCAAAGCTCATATCTATTTTCAAAAATTGTACCATTTATACGAAGTTTTACTTCAAAACCGACCAGGTTCGACATATCGAATAGACGTCATTCACCTCAATCACAATGAAACATCGCAATTCGCAAAGTTGACTCAGCAAAAAGTTCAACAATTGATATAGGAAGTTCGTGCAAATCGCTGATGCTCATCAGATCTTACATTGGTAAATCTTTATTTCTTTTGATCATCTACACAACAAAAACTACGAAAATTTCGATGAATTCAATTCTGACTTCACTGTTTTTTTTTGAATCAGAACTGGATAGTTTCTACAATCATCAGATCGAACAATTGGTAGAAGATGAACGAACATTATCGAAAATCATACCTATCATACTATTGATCATATTACATATCTTTGTCATAAAATACATTTAGTATTAAAAAAAGAAAACTTGCAGACCTCATTTTTCACCTCAATACATTCTACACATATTTGTTCACACAAAAATAAATTTATTTCACAAATTATTATATATCGCATATAATCATTTTTCTTAGATGTTATTTTCTTCTAACAATAGACAAGACAATTTACTCTTATTTTCTTTTCTTTTAATTGAATGTCTTTCTTTTTTCAGCAAAGAAATTTTTGAGTAAAGGATATTTTTGCATTTGGAAAATATCCTTGTAAAGAATTTGAATGTTGTGGTTCACTACATAAATATAATTCAACTATTTTGGCACAATTAATTCGTGTAGCATCTCTTGTGAAATTGTCTGTCACTCGTTGTAAAGATTCATATTTGATATAAAGAATAACATTATGTGGCAAACACGCTTTAGTATCAAATAGAAATTCTTCTATATAATCATCATGAACATTGATAATACGAAGTTCACTAAGAAAAAAATATTCAATAACAGATAGATTCTGATTATCATTACTTAATTCATAAGATTGTTTACAATTTTGTGATTTACGATTACACATGTATAATTGTTCCATGTATGGGAATGATTGAACAATTCGAAGAAAAAATTCATGTTCAAAAGGATATTCATCATATAATGACACGATACGAACATATTTGAATAATCCACCTGGAAAATTATTTGTAATAAGGCCATAATATGGCATAAAAGATGGATATGAGTAAATATGACATCGAGTAAGTTTTGTCTCTGGAAAATAGTCAACATAAGAAATAATTTCATTATTTATAAAGTCAATGAATGTGTGTTGAATATCTTTTCCCGATGGTAAATGCATTTCATTATCAATAGACATCGATGAACTAATATAAAATGTGAATTGATTTAAGCGTAACATACGATCAAGAATGTGTCTCTTTAAATGGTTTCCATCAATAAATGTCTCATGAAAACAGACCATAAAACACAAACTAAGTATCTCTACATTTGACATTCGATATAGTAATGATAGGATTGTTTTATCATACTCCATAGCATCGTAATTGCAGGAGAGAGAAAAACACCTTAAATTTGGCAAATCACCCTAAAAAACAACAATTGTTATTTGATAATATAGAGTTATTTCTTGCAAAATTAACCTGATTTTTAAGTTTTCGTGGACAATGAATATTAACTAAATCAACATAGAGCGTATGAAGTTGATTAAAACGCCCATCGAGAAGATAAAGACAATCTTCGAAACATTGTACTCTGACATTTAATATCAAAATAGTTGAAGAAAAAATAGTAAAAGGTAATGGATTATAAAAATTTAATCGAACAGGACATCGATACGATGTTTCATATAATGTTAAACTCGTCAAACGGGTAAGAATATTGAAGATGTAATTACATATGTTTTCCACTGACGATATCATCTCATAATAATCATCATTCTTATCCATTGTAATTAAAAGCATTTTAATCTGATTTTTGAAAATACCAGATGAAAGAATTTCATCTAAATTCATATGAACAGTATTAGTTAGAAAAAATGCTTATGAAAATGATATCTTTTCAAATGATCTAATTATCTATATGAATAAGTTTGATAAATCTTTCATTGTTTGTTTAGAATAAAAATGATTGAATCGAATTATCTTACCAGTAAAAAGACATCGCGCTGATTCTTCATTAATGTTATAAAGACCAAGACAATATAAGTTAGGATAATGAGCAGCACGTAAAACATATTTCATAGATGATGATTCAAGATCAAGCCGTTTGATTTTATGACAAATTTCAGGTAAAATTTGTAAACAAAATCGATTAAGAATCATATCAGAAGAAATTAGATCAATAAAATTATATAAGAAACATTTAACAAAAGTCAAACGATTTGTAAAAATTGAATCCTGAATAAGTTTATTTAATCGTTGATTGACACCATGTAAAGAATAAAGTACATCAAAATTGTTCAGTTTTTTGAAAATAATCATAAGAATTTCATCAGGTAAATCATTTAATCCAATACATGAATATTCCTTATTCATTTTCACTTTTCGACTGTTTTTGAACTTATCAAAAGTCAATCTTAGTATGCGCATATACACTCATCTGTTTTATTTGACCGATGTCGTCAATGAAAAGAATAATGTATTTTTCTCTAGTCAAAAATTGACAGTGAATTGAAAGAATGGTTGGCCGTAAAAATGTCGAAAGAAAAAATATCAAAAGGAAAAATTTCGAAAGGAAAAATTTCGAAAGGAAAAATGTGGAAGAAACGAAAAGAAAAAATGTCGAAAATAATATTGACATGAAAAATAGTCAGCAAATGTTTAAGAGAGTTAAGCCCCGAACAGACCGACTAATTCAAAGCGAATTAAAACTGAATTAACGAATAAATCGTCTGAAAAAGACGATTTAAATCGAAATAGACCAATCACATTGCTTAATTTGTTTTATTTTTTTTAGTCTGTTCGGGGCCTTATGAATAGAAATAAACATGTTTTATTCCCTCGACTGAAGGGAGGGTCATATGAAATAAAATGTGTTGTTTGCTTGTTTGATTGATTGATTGGGGTCAAAAAAACATATATGAGACGTTAGCTTATTTTAAAACTTTTCGCCAATTTGATCAAACTTTGCCATAGGTTATCGAGGGCCCTGAATTCGGATCCGAAGCCCATTTGTTTCGCCGAGGTTTCATTGGCCAGGAACTGATCAATCAGAAACGAACTTTTTTAATTTTAGACTTTCGGCCGTTTTGATCAAACTTTGCCATAGGTTATCGAGGGCCCTGAATTCGAATCCGGAGCCCATTTCTTTCGCCGAGGTTTCATTGACCAGGAACTGACCAGTCAGAAACGAACTTTTTTAATTTTAGACTTTTGGCAGTTTCGATCAAACTTTGCCATAGGTTATCGAGGGTCTTGAATTCGAACACTGAGCCCATTTCTTTGGCCGACGTTTCAATGGTCAGGAGCTGACCAATCAGAAACGAACTTTTTTAATTTTAAAGTTTTGGCCGTTTTGATCAAACTTTGCCATAGGTTATCGAGGGCCCTGAATCCGAATTCGAAGCGCATTCATTTGGCGACGGTTTCATTGGTCAGGAAACGGTCAAGGGGAAAAGAATTCTCTACTTTAAGCAAGGGGGAATCAGCAGAGACTTCAGCCGTGAAGTCTCATGAAGTCTTGTAAGTCTTCTGAAGTCTCTTGAAGTCTTTTGAAGTCTTATGAATTATCATAAAGTCTCATAAAGTCTCTGAAGTCTTTGAAGTCTCATGAAGTCTCATAAAGTCTCATGAAGTCTCTTGAAGTCACTTGAAGTCTCTT